TACAAACATACACCATGACTGATTGATTAATTTTGTTCTTTTAAAAAGAATCTCTCAAAACTTACTTTGTAAGTTTGTTAGCATAGATGCCAAATTATCATAAAGCAGTTTTGTGATACAAGGTTTCAGTTATGTTCCAAATGAAGACAAAATACTAAATCTCCCTGAAGTCTTTTGTAGCTGAAGGTCAAATCTAGACAATATATTTCAACATTTTTAGAAAAGGGGCTCTCTCACTGTACAAGATTTTCCTCACCTCCATATCTTGCATCTAGTGTGCTTCATTTTGTGACTCATTACTGGAAAGTAAGCATGGACTTAATCTAAAGTTTCACTGCTGTGGCTAGATAAGCATTTCTGAGAAAACTCAAATGTTTCTAAGGAACTCTCTAAGTAGTGGGAAAATAAATTAACTGCAGGGAATATGCATTTTCTAGTAATGTCTAGTTTGAGTCTTAAAACTATCAAGCACAGGTACAATTGTAAGCACAGATACTAACTGTAATTAGTGCTACACCAAGTCAAGCTCTCCAAGTGATTCTTCATATTTAACACATCAGAATTTATTACATTAAAATAACTAAAAGATAGGGGGAATTAGATCAAATAAGAGATGAAGAACATATCCATTTGTACTTGTTAATGGAACCCTGACTTCTACTAATAAAATAGCTGGATTATATTAGATGAATGCTTAAAATAGAAAAACAATCCACAGAATGTGCCTTCATCTTGATTATGTTGGTCACAGATGCCTTAGGATCAGGTAAACCAGACAATACCATCATTCTCTAGCAGTACTATGTTTCATTTATATACCTTTTGCATTACTACTGTATTGGAAGGGGGATGCTTTATCTCTCTTCTAATTAGCAGCAACTCAGAGGAATAGAGCCTTTTTAATATGGCCTGTTGGGAGGCACACCCAATAGTGGATAGAGCATTCCTGTACTCACATACAGTATATGCTTTTTGATGAATAAATGTATCTGCCTAGCATGGTACTATTATATTTCAGGCCATTACTTACAAGTTTCCACAAATAAGTATTGTGGGATACGATTACGCCAGCATTAGTAACAACGGGAACACACTAATTAAAGAGCAACAGAACAATCATGATATTGACGGGAACAATCTCAGTTCGGTATTACTGCATCTTCCAAACCGATTCAGCAAACCATTAAGTAAAATGTAACTAACATCTACAGTTTGTCAGCAACATTTGTAATTGTTTTTTTAAAAAAAAAATGAAACAGAAGAGAAACATAATAAAAGGGGGGGGGATGTCCCTCTATCCATTTCAATGCCACACTCCACCTATTATGTCACAGGGTTATCACTGCAGTTAATGTCACCCCAGTGTCATTTCGGTGAAAGGTACTTCGTTTTTTGGATCACATTGAATTGTGCCAAAAAAAAAAAAATGCCCTAGCCCTGTGCCAGAAAGGTGTGCAATAGTTCTTAAAGGGGAAGGATAGATCGTTCTGAGTAGCAACATGTGTGGGCACAGTCATTTTTTCCAATCTAAACCATGCTACCAGCAATTCATATATCTATATGCCAGTGTGGACACAGCCTAAGAAAAATTAGTGGAATTGCCGTATGGTTAGAAGCTGGAGTGGGCCAAGAGACACCTGAAGTCCATTTGAAAAGGACTTGCAGACTGCAGGTCCCCCAATATTAAGCTAATTATATACAGCCCGTTTCAATAATGAAATATAGATGATTCTCTCTTTTCAGACACATACACTGCCAGTTACTAATGCTCTACAACACTGGTTCTTAACCTTGGGTTACTCAGGAGTTTTGGACTGCAACTCCCAGAAGCCTTCAGCACCAGCTGTGCTGGCTGGGGTTTCTGGGAGTTGCAGTTCAAAAACATCCGAGTAACAAAGGTTAAGAACCACTGCTCTACAAGATGTAACTGCAGTCTGTTTCCTCATATTCATTCTCTTTCAAGCATCCTGGGGAAAATAAGTGTTAGCAATTCTCAACCAACTTACAGAAATTTAGTTTACTAAGATATGAACAATCAAGACAGGATTTTGAGTATGAAACAACCTTTTAGTTTAGTAATAATTTTCATTTCACTTGAAACATCTGGGCAAACCTCTAGTGAATTAAAAATAAAAAGTGGTATTTGAAGTGGCTAAAGAAAATTTGAGCATTTAACACCTTTGCATGTTTTCTTCCTGATTTCCTCTTCTTTGTTCACAAGAACTGATCACCACCACCAGTATTTAACTCTCCTGATCATTAAAAACATCTACAGAGAATAAAATCTTCCATTCATGGCCTGTGCTTCTGTTTGGAGAATTGGGTTGTTACACTCAATCCACGAATTGTCTAAGCTGTAACCATAAAACATCAACCAGTCTCTGGAATTACATCCAAGAGAGACATGCCTGGCAATTTCCACTCTGCCAAGAACTTTTTGGAGTTTACGTTTAAGAGCAAAGTGCTGGGCAAACCCCATCATGCCATGAGCATTTGGACCTTAAGTTCTTCACACTGGTACAAACCTGTAGTGGTGTTTTAATCTAGGAAAGCTCATGAATGTTATGATGATTTTTAGTGCTCTATAAAGGTAAAGGTAAAGGTTCCCCTTGACAATTTTTGTCCAGTCGTGTCCGACTCTAGGGGGCGGCGCTCATCCCGCTCTTCAAGCCATAGAGCCAGCGTTTGTCCGAAGACAATCTTTCCGTGGTCACATGGCCAGTGCGATTTAGACACGGAACGCTGTTTACCTTCCCCCCGAGATGGTACCTATTTATCTACTCGCATTTGCATGTTTTCGAACCGCTAGGTTGGCGGGAGCTGGGACAAGCAACGGGCACTCACTCCCTCGCGTGGATTCGATCTTACGACTGCTTGGTCTTCTGACCCTGCAGCATAGGCTTCTGCGGTTTAGCCCACAGCGCCACCACGTCCCACGCAATGCTCTATAAAGGTATTACTTATTTTTGCATTCAGTGTCCTTTTTCACTGGTGATATATGTGCCCATTGCTCCATCTAGTGGCATATATGATATTCACTCTTCATACATTGCCAAACCCAGATGTGGCATAGGCTAGATCAAAGCAGCCTATGGGAGTGATGCTTAGAGAGGATACTTAATCCTTTTCTCTTGCAGTGTTTTCTTGATAACTCTATATATTTAGCTACTCACCTTCTACAGGAACATATGATGTATTTTATTTCCCCCAAATGCAACTTAAGAAGAAAATTCATTCCATGAGGGTTGACCTAAATCAAAGTAATATTTAAGCCCTTTTTCACCTCAGTGGTGCTTCCTCAATATGATGGACAATTCACAATGGCTTCTATGAAGAGGATAAAAGATGGTGAGGAATCCAGAGATGGATTTTGTCAGTTACATGTAAATTGGTCATTTAGAAAGATGGCAGATCCAAGAGAAGGGTAAGTGACCTCACAAATAAAGCCAGCAAACACAGGTTTGGTGTTGAGTGTGCCCTCATCAGAAAAGTCACAGTAGCAAAAGGTACGATACATGTACTTTCAAACATGTGTTCATCAAATTTCTACTTGCTGAGGAATTCCAGGATAATCTATATTCTAGGCATTGGCAACTTACTGCTGTGCCCTCTGGATGCAACAAGGTGCGATATAATAAAATATCCTGTGGTTTCCACCACCTACACACCCTCTTCTAGAATACTTCTATTAGTATTGTCATTTGTTTTACATAGTAATCTGTCAGCATGTTATACTCACTGAGGCTATTTTAGGTTATCCTTGCTTCAGGTTTTCTCCCTCTGAAGATTTTTTTGAACTGCAAACATTGAAGTTCCTCCAGGCCTGACATGATGTTTTGTATTGATAATAATATTTTGACTACACAGGAATTTATACTTCGAGATCTTAATTGTAAAAGTATAAAGTTACAGTTTCTCATGGAACTCTTTTAAGAATCTGGAACTGTCAGCTCTATCAACATCCTCCACCTCTTCTTTAGGATACACCTATCACATTCTTCCAATTTTTCATTGTACTTTATATCAAGATTCCATTTTCATAAACTTTCTCTAATTTACCAACCTCTGTTGATAGTTATCCACAATATCCGATACTAAGCTATACATTTAGGCCAAATTCCTTGACTAAAGTTACGCTGCTACAAGCTGACAGTGCCATCAGCCATGGGCTTTATTGCTCATTCAGCTTCCTATTTCACACCCAGGCTCCAGGGTTCCCTCAGGATTCCTTTCAACCTGGGGGATCATTTGGGAGCCTTTAATACCAACAAAACAAAACAAAAAAGTGCTGTTGACAGTCCCAATCACAGCAATAGCAATTAAAAGGTATATCACACAATCCAAATCCCCGATACCTTAGTTACTTTAGTTGCAGGCTCCCAGCCTTTCCACAAAGAACAGTGACCATAAGGCTTATGGTGTCCAATGTGTCGATATATTCCAGTACCAGCAAGAGACCACACTCATTAAAAATTATCCATATTAATGCAAAACCAGAAAAATCAGTTCTGTAAAGTCAAGGCAGCTTTAGTGAAAATGTATGTAGGTTTGGACGAAAAGGCAAAACAAAACACAGAAATAAACCTCTAGTTACAGTATTTCAGTTTAAAAAAACAGAACAAATATTCAGTGAGCATATGCTCCATAGCAACTGGGGGACAGGTCCCCAGACCTGCTCAAGTCACCAACTGCAATGTAGAGAAATACCAAAGGATTCAAAAGAAGGTATATTCTTTTTGCTATAGTTTTTTAAATTAAAAAAAGTAGTCACATGTGTCCGCACTTCCCAGCATGTTTTTTTAAAAGATAAAGCATGTATTAAACTGCTTGCAGTGTGCCCCATCACTGGCTATCCCCTTTGAAGAGCTGCTTATTATAAGTGTGCTTGACGTGGGGTGGAGGGAGATGCATGTCACTGGGACAGCTGTGTTACCACAGTCTTAAAACTGTGGTGTCAATTTGGTTTTAAGTAAGTTTTAAAACACACACACATACAAAGATTCCTACACAGGTTCCATTTTAGTATGAAGGCTCTTGTTTCTGAAATACTATTCATGACATCTGTAATTTAACAGCTTTTTAAAGAGATGACATTACATACAAACTACAAGCTTTTGTTTCAGTGTTAACATAATTAAAACAAAAACATGGAAGACCAATATTTTAACATTTTCTTCTTCAAAGAAGTTTTTAAAAAGTATTTTGTAGTTCACGTTTGCTGAAAATATTGGTAAGCAAGAGAAAGCTGAAAAGGAAACAATACACATTTTTATACATCATTATCAGAAAGTTTACATTATAAATCTTTTTTGAAATTGCACTGTATTTAAAACACCCCCAAGAGTCAAAGCATAGCTGCTCTACTATTTCTCTGCTGGTGGTTCCTCTTTTATTAGTTGCCAACTTGTGGAGGCCCTTCAGGGATGAGGGATGTAAAGAAGGTGGTGATGAAGGACCAAGCAGAAGCCATAAATCCTGGATGTTGTTCTGCATTGACATCAATGGCATCTTCTCCACTGTCTTCATCAATCCCGTCATCCATAAGACGCTCCTTAAAAACAACAAAAAGATCTTAAGTAATGAAATCCAAGACACTTACAATATTAAAGGATTTATTATACAGTGCCACTGCCTGCAAGATATATAGTATCTTCACTCTATTCTCCAAGCAGTATATAGTATGGATATAGAAACTTAAAACTGGCACATATTGCCAATATTCTATCTATTCTGAAGAGAAGAGCTTTCAAAAGGATGGGTTTATGTCACAATCTAGCTCAGAGAAGCTTGGATTATTTCACCAAAAAATTTGGTCTACCACTGGTGATTGTTAATAAATGGTTATAGTTTGGGAGGGGCCTACTTAAAACACACTCCTCTCCTAAAATAAATTCTCTCGTTAAGCGCTTGATCGCTGTCGGGCCACCACTTCCTCTCTTGACCCTTGCCCGTCCTGGCAAATCAAAGCAGCCAGGCCTATAACAACAGAATGGGCTACAGCGATAATTAATGGGTCTCTCCAGGACGGCAAGGTCCCTCTTGCCCTCAAGGAGACACACACATTAGGCCCATTAGGAAGAAACCTAATTTGGCGGCCGACAATATTGGCAATTATAGGCCTGTCGCCAATGTTTCCTTCCTCAATAAAGTGGTGGAGAGGGGGGTGGCTGAACAGCTTCAGGCTCTTTTGGATGAAACCAATGAACTGGATCCCTCCCAGTCGGGCTTCAGGCCGCGCTGTGGCACAGAAACGGCATTGGTCGCACTGTTGGATGACCTATTGAGGGAGGCTGACAGGCGAAAAATGTCCTTGTTTGTCCTCCTTGACATCTCAGCCGCCTTCGATACCATCGACCACGGTATCCTCCTGGGGAGGCTCCCCGAGCTGGGAATCGGTGGTCTGGCTCTTGCCTGGCTCCAATCCTTCTTGGAGGACCATCCTCAGAGAGTACAGCTTGGGGAGAGTGTTTCGGCCCCGTGGAGGCTCAATTGTGGGGTTCTGCAGGGGTCGATCATCTCCCCAATGCTGTTTAACATCTATATGAGGCCACTGGGTGGAGTTATCAGGGGGCGTGGGGCTTCGTGCCATCAATAAGCTGACGACACGCAGCTCTACATCTCCTTTTCACCTACTTCAGTGGATGCCGTTCTGTCTCTTCAGCGTTGTCTGGAGGCCCTACTGCAATGGATGCAGGAGAATGGGTTGAGGCTGAACCCGGACAAGACGGAGGTCTTGAGGGTGGATGGCCCCTCCATTAGCGGCTTGGGAAACTCCCTATCTTTTGAGGGGTGACTCTCGCCATGAAGAGTGAGGTTCACAGCTTGGGGGTAAATCTGGACCTGGCAGTCACCATGGAAACTCAGGTGGTCCACTCCGCTTATTACCATCTGTGGCGGATTGCCCAGCTGAATCCCTATCTTTATTTATTTATTTATTTTATACCCCACCTATCTTGATGGTGGAGCCCTCGCCACTCTGGTCCATGCGCTTGTAATCTCAAGATTAGACCACTGCAATGCGCTCTATGTGGGGCTACCTTTGAGATTGATGTAGAAGCTTCAAATGGTGCAGAATGTGGCAGCCAGACTACTTAGTGGAGCGAGAAAATACCAGCACATCTCTCCCATTTAGGCTGCATTGCATTGGCTGCCCATTCGATTCCACATTGATTTCAAAGTCTTAATGATGACCTATAAAGCCCTAAACGGTTTAGGACCTCAATACTTAGCAGAACCCCTTCTCCCATCTAGATCTACTAAAGTCGCTCGTCACAGCCAGGAAAGACAGTTGAGGGGCCTAACGCCGAGAGAGGTCCGAAAAGAAAGAACAAGAAATCGGGCCTTCTCGGCAGTGGCCCCTCGACTTTGGAACAGATTGCCATCAGAGATTCGCCTGACACCCTCGCTGGGTGTTTTTAAGAGCCAATTAAAGACCTGGCTCTTTAAGCAGGCCTTCCCTCCTATAAATACTTGATTTTTCTTTTTTGTTTTATTTCTTCCCATCTTGACCAATGTTAGTCTTGTTAATTTAAATTGTTGTTTTAACTGTATATGTATATTGTCTTATGAATGATTTTATGTAAGCCGCCCTGAGTAGACTTTGTCTAGAAGGTGCGGGATAAAAATCTAATAATAAATAAATAAATAAATAAAAATAAAGTAGGCTTATTTATTTGCTACAATATCAGCACTGAAGAAGCAGAAACCATCATGGTGCTAGAACAGCTTGAACATTCTTAAGGAATGATAAAACTGGCAACCTGGAGGAAGTAACTGCCTGTACTGCATTGGAGGATGATATGACTAGACAAATAAATATAACAAGGCACAGGACAACAAACCCATTGCTTCAAGATGGAAAATACATTATTCAAAGTCCTGTTGCTTAGTATATTTTATTTATTTGATTTATTTATTTGATTTATATCCCACCCATCTGGTTTATGGTTCAGTTTGTGCAAGCTATTTTGCAGAAATGAAATGAAATACTGAACCTTTTTCTCTTGGAGCTTCATTTTACTTAGGCAAAACAGATGCCCCCTGTGCTTCCCTATCAGGTCCTGCTGCCTTCTTCCTTCGTCGCCACCATCTTCAGAGACAATGCAGAGGGATGGAAACATTAGGTTCCTCTCCACCAGGCATGAACCAGAAAACCCCTGAACCAGTTTTTTTCCCCTGGGGTTCAGGGTAGTTCGTGGTTCATGGGTAGCCAAAAACCACCCTGGTTCATGCCCATCTCTAATCAGAACCCACATTCACCACTTAACCTAAGGACTTCAATTTTAATTAATAGCAGTAAGCACATCCTAAACTGTAAACCACTTCTGCTCTTGCATTCACTTACCATCTCTTCAAGTCCAGCATTATTTACATTTTGCCCATCATGATTCATGTCCACATTGTTTGCTGCAGGCTGCTGGACTGCTTCTTGCCTGAATGGGAACCACCCAGCTTGGTGTCTAACAACACACACATGCACAAAATTAATTGAAAAGAACTGCCCAAAACAGATGCCTGTATTCACTAAATTGAGATTAACAAGAGAGATTCCAATCTGATCTCATACAAAACTGCATGGTTTAAGAAAACTTGTAGGAATTTTAAGAAAGCTGTTTAAGATCCTACTCTTGTGAAACACACTGAACTATTGATAGAATGTTCTTGCAATCAGCAAAGGATAAGTACTCATAGAAACCAAATACTTCTGTCAGTTCTTCTCTTTAAAGATCAATTAAACTTCATGTAATTATGTCTTGTGAGTCACTACTGCACTGCCATTGTTCCCAAATATGTTTTAAGTTGACTAATGAAAACGTACCAGTAGACTTTATCTCATTAAAATAATGTTCAATGGTATTTCTTCATAAAAGAATGCAGAAACACTGAAATGTTCTATTTTCATTTAGATAAACAGACAACAGTACTGGCCAAAAAAACCCTAAATAGCACCATTATTAAACTGATTGTGTAACTGATACTCTCTTCACAAAGACCTAAATTCAGATCTACAGTGGTGCCTTGTTAAATGACAAAACCGCTTTACGATGAAGTTTTTGCGATTGCAAATCGCTTAACGATGATCGGTCCCCTGCTCTGGGAACCGATTCTTCGCTAGACGACGATTTTAAAACAGCTGATCGGCCGCTCTAAAATGGCTGTCCGCTGTGCAAAATGGCTCCCCACTGTGCTTTAGGACAGATTCCTCGCTTTACAGGCACCGGAAAATGGCCGCCCTATGGAGGATCTTCGCAAAACGAGCAGGTATTGCTCCCATTGGAATGCACTGAACTGGTTTTCAATGCATTTCAATGGGTTTTTTAATTTCACTTGACGAGGATTTTGCTTAACAGCGATTTGAATGGAACGAATTATCGTCAAGTGAGGCACCACTGTAATTATAATTAATGTAGACTTAGAGAAATCAATGGAACAATTAATTGTCAAACTAAGTAGAACTGTGGACTAATCCACCTACATCCTTCAAATCTATGCATTGATCTGCAAGGTGCAGATTAGGGAAGTCTTCAAACAGCCCTATTCTGAAATATTTTCAATTTACAAATAACTTCTGTATGTAAATAAGTAGCATTTACTTACAGATAAACTAATAACATGGCTCCCATCACCATCACAAACCGACTGAAAGAGGAATAAAAATATACAATGCTAAGGAGAATAGCAGCTCTGGAGAATGTATACATCCAGTCTAGCCAATCTCGATTGAAGTCCTCCTCATTCATTACTGGACCTCCTTGAGCATTCATCTGGACATTCTGATTTGCAGGTCTGTTCTCTTGTGGGATTACATTTGGTGCTACTGGGGGCTCATTTGCTGGTGCACGCTCAGAATTTGTGGGCTGTGGAGCTGGAGGACTAGCCGATTCAGTGCTGGGTACTGCCTGGGCTGAAACTGCAGCTTGACTGTAATATAAATATTTAAGAGTGTCTGAAAAACTATTTTCATGCATATTTTCAAATAGACTTTACAATTATCAGTTGATATATCCTGTATAAATAAGGTTACTCATGATCATTATACATTAAAAACTTCATCACACATAATGAATTATATGTAAAAAAACTGGTAAGAAAGACCTCCACCTGGCATGAGCAACTTGTTGTCTTCCATATTTTGGTGGAATGCAGTTCCCATCAACCTTAGCCAATAAAGCCTGAGTTGATCAAATTACATTCCTGAAATGATGAACATAGTAACATAGAAGCTACAAACATCCCTTCATTTTAAAGTAGAAACAAGCAGGATTTGAGAAGTCTACTCTTAAGAGTGCAACTATACACAGAGAGAAATGCAAATTCAATTGCTGTGAAGCTGCAATGCAGAACAGCCTTGTTTTCAGCTTGTTACCATAGCTCAGCTACAGAACTACTTAATAAGCTATAAACAAGGGCAGTGTGGCAATTTCCTCTTCTCATTTCCTCTTCTTTCTCTTCACTGTAGTTATCATCTAGATGCCCTACCATAACAGCACATGCATCATGCTATTAAAAAAAATTGGCATATTCTGCCTAAAAGGGAAAAGCAGAGACCAAAGAATCACACTTTTCTGCATTATTTCAAGCTATCACACCACCTGAACTGATACAAGTGGATCTGATGGTAAAAAAAATAATAAATAGAAATCCCAAAGGTGGAGGCAAAAACTACAGATGTGGGGTAGGGAGAGACTCCAGGCTGATTCACATTTGCTTTTGTGTCATGTGGTCATTAAAAATGCATTATCTGCCTATCCCAAACACGTAGTATTTTCCACATTTTTTCACTAATGTGGTCGCACCCTTACAAATGTTTTGGCCTGAATCTCCCATTAACTGTAGTTGTCATGACCTATGGTGATGATGAATAACCATAAGTATTATGTGTCTTAGTCACCACCCTGCTATTTTAATACCAACTAAAATAAGTGAATTAAATCACCATTTGTACTTACTATTGCATATAATATTGACGCACATACATCTGTTGCCACCATATCATCTGTAGAGGGCTGAAAGAAGGATACACCGGAATTCCAGCTGGCACCCCTTGCCCAGAAAATTGGTTACCTACATTGCTAAAGAGAATTGGGGCAGATTACATGATTGGTTCTCACTTAATTGACATAATGTAATTAGACTGCTTTACATATAGCATTTTTGCCTCATGGATCTTTCTGGTGGTTTTATATCCCTCAGTTTACTGTAGAATTTTTTATTTTGAAAATCCTATTCTAAGTAATTTGTAACCATGCAGAAGTCTAGTATTGCAACAAGTCCAACAACAATACCAATACAGGTTTCCTAGAGGAAAGATCTCTACAAAATGTCATTTATCTATTTCTTTCAAAGTATCACGGTTGACTCTGGGAATGAAAGTACTCACATAGACATTCACTGCCATTTTCCTTCAGAGCAGAGGGCTGCACTCAAGACAGCTTTTATGTATGCTTAAGATGTGGGCCTCATATAATCTTGCCTAAAGTACTACAGTAGGATACCCTTATCCACTGGGGATTTGTTCCATGCCCCCATGGATACTGAAAACTGTGAATAATAGCAAACACACACATATAGCATGGTAAAAGGAAAACCAGAAAAACATTATTTTCATATGCATTAATTAACAGAACTGGGGGCTAGAGGGTGCCAGAGATTATGCTATGTATTCTCATTAGCAAGTATTCATAGCATGGTCTCTCTCCAGTAGCTAGTTCTGATAGTACATATGATAGTACGTTGTCTAGAGGGGCGGGGTAAAAATCAAATAAATAAATAAATTAAATTGTTCTGGATTTTTTCTTTTCATGTTTTTAAAATTTTCAGACCACGGATAAGTGAATAAGTGGATACTGATCCCGTGGATAAGGGGATCTTACTGTACTTACTGTGCCTTATTGTACCAGATAGACTCCAGCCCCTTCTACAGAACCTACTGTGCAGTGGGACTATCCCCTCCCTCATGAAGCATTGCATTAGACAGTTTCCTTTTTGTTCCAAACAGAGAAACAAGGTGATACAGTAACTGATGGATATGAAAAAAGCTAGTCTCTGAACTTTCTTTTTGGCTGCAACTTCCATAATTCTGCCTGGAGAAATTCTAGGAAACTTCTAGGAGTAGGACTCTTTTATAAAAAAAAATTCCTTGTCTAGTACCAGTTATCCTGTTGCACCACTCTGCAACAGAAGAAACTGACAAATAAGTATATTAAGATAATCACTCTGTGTGTGATGTTACACTAATTTAAAATGTTTTAAATCTACAGCAACTTGTCCAGCAAAAAATATTCAGTTAACAAAGTTGTGTACTAAAACAATTTTAGAAGGCACTAACATGATATACTGCTTGCAGAGTATATTGAGTATATTGGAAAGATCCTTCAGAATGGAAATAGCCTATGTTATCTTCAATGGCAACAACACAGACTATTTACAGTATCAACAACATGAGTTGATGCAACTGTATTGCATCAGACCACAATTCAATCTCAGAAGAAAATTGGCTGCTGCAGGATGTCACAGGAGACCTTGCTGATTCATCTATGTACTAAGAGTAAGGGACTTGGAGAAAGATGAAGGAATTAAGGGAAAATAGAGGTAACAAAAATTCTGTCATACAAATAACAGAAACATGGCTGATCTCCTTTATGTTACCTGCAGAGACTTAAAATATTTTTCCTTGCATAGAAAAAATGCCTGTCACCTTTGAAACACATTAAAGGATGACATAATCTGTTATAGCATGGTCCTTGCTCAGATTATCTAAGGCCATTTTTTTAAACTTTGGGGAATATGCAACACAATACAATAGAGAGGAAGGCCCCTTTAAGGAATTCTCACAGCTACCAGGGAATCATGGATTGTGTAAAGCCAACTGAAACAGGAATGGGATGGGATTGATGGAATTTTACTAAAAGCAAGAAGAAGAAGAAGAAGAAGAAGAAGAAGAAGAAGAAGAAGAAGAAGAAGAAGAAGAAGAAGAAGAAGTAGTACTAACATTTATTTACAAAATTAAATCCATCTATACGAAGGAAATATGCAGTGTTGCACATGTGTACTGAATCAGGTACTTATTTGAGATTAATTAGCTTGAGAACTAAAGAATGTGGTTTCATAGACTGGATAACAAAACAAAGCCATTTTTGTTTTTTTATGTCAGTTTTAATTTCAATAAAGCTTTGAAGTACTGTATCAATTTCTTTTACAACCATAGCCAGAATCCTATTGCCAATTTATACTTGAGTAAGGAAAAACATATAAGCACAAAATCACTACTCATTAAAGAGGTTTGGTTGCATTGTTGGGTGTGTACCTAATTGCACAATGGAGCATATGCCCAGATAATGCAAACAGCATGTTGTCAGTAAGCAGCCAAGATTTATCTGGTTTCCTTTATGCAAGAGTCAAAAGGGTACAGGATTCTGGGCCATATAGAACACAACAGTAGCATTTTGACATACTTTGCAAACTGACAGATTTTGTCACTTAGATTAGAACATATGTTAAAGGATCCTCAATATTCTCATAATTTTTAAGACGGTACACTGGCAAAAAATATTTTTCTACATTTTTAGGCTTTGACAGAAATGTCAGATTGACATTATTGAATGGGATCTATTTCCTAAGAATCGCAGCTGTTCAAATTTTTCTCAAAGAGTATTTTCCCAATTACAAACCAGAGTACACCAGAATATTTCCAGACAATCCCTCCTCATTATCAATCTGAAATCTGCCATAGAAAAATGCAAGCAAAGAACATAGATGTCTAAAATTAAATCAAATTGATGAAAAGATAAAAAGGAAGAAGAAAATGCAACACCAATTCCAAAAAGTTCAAATTCCTCCCCCCCCCCCTCTCAAAGAAGCAAAAACATTTTTGTCTTTCTTTCTTTTTCCCCCCAGTCTGGTACAAAATGAACAAAAAACATTTATTGAATCACTGTCTTTGATATGTGGTGTTTATATAAACTAAGATGGAACAAATAAGTCTTTAAATGGGTGTCTATCAGATGGTGATGAAAGCACTAGATAATTAGAATATCACTCAACCCAGGATTCCAAGAACATGACAGAAATAATGAAAAAGAAATGAATCATATAAAACATAGAAGAACACAATAATATAAGCTCCTTCCTCCTACAAATTTCAAACTCTATTACATATGCTCATTGTAACTAATGACACCCAGGTGTTTAGCCTCAGCATCTTTTGGGGCCACATTTCTATCCAAGGGCATTTTTTCTAACTTGATTGCTATTCACTACTTTAATGTTTCAGCCGCCAAACATAACCTTTCAACACTTATTAAAAATAAAGCAATGATTACATAAAACTCAAACAATAATAAAATTAATAAAATTATCTACATTTTGTATATTATTTACATTTTACAGTATTTTATACTTACCCTTGCATCACATATGAGAATGGATGGCTTTGCATTGGATTGCTTTGTGCTTGTGGAAGGTTACGATGTCTGACACCACTGGAGCTACTGCTCACGTTTGTATGTAATGGTTCTTGAGATGAGGGAGGAGTTGTTGACCTTGAACATTCTGAACTCTTAAAATAAAATGTGATTATTAATTCCCATCCAATGTAGAAAGATTTTCACATTTTATGCTAAAAAAATATTTTGAATGAGTTTTTTAAAAATCAGTATCCTATCCCGCACTACCAATCCACCCTGGATTCTAGTTACATCTGAAGCCAGAAAACCTTACTCTGACTAATAATATACATGTTTTTTTCTTCCTACACACAACACTTACTGGACTAGATTTGTCACTATTCAGAAGTCAAACACTGAACTGAAAAACAAAATCACAGCTCCAAAACTAACAATGTGATTGTTTTGAATATAACAAATAAAGAACAAAGCAGTCTCTGCCTATACCATGACATTCACAAGTTCTCTCTCCCTTGCCTGCTACTATCATTCTAAAAGTCATTATAAGCCTGAATCCAATTGCTCAGTCCAACTACCACAGACACACTGAATCAACTTGATTCAGTTAAGTGCTGAGTTACAACAAATGGCCGAAGTCCAGTTACTCAGCATAGTGAGTTGAACTAGAATAGGTCCACTGAATCAATTGTGATTTGGTGAGTCAACTTCTCCAACTTCTTCCATTGATACAAATGGGTCTACTTTAGTTGAGACGTATTATGCTAAAACAGACCCATCTGAATTAATGGGATTTAGAGGCATTAACTCTCCAAAACTTCACCAATTTAATAGGCCTACTCTACATCAACTTACTATGCTAAGCAACAGTATTTCAGCCAATGTGTCTGCTCTCGTTGAGACCAGCAACTCTACTTAGACCATAATCTGTAACATGTACTGAAATAAGTAGTAATGGAAGTATTACTGTCAGGATTTATAAACTAAAGCAGTATTTGTTTACAGAGCTCCAAATGATTACATCTTACACAAAGACAACTCACCGAGATGCTACTAGAGGGTGATGAATCATGGTTTTCTCTAATGCTGTCAGGTTTTGGAGAACTCGGAGGTGTACGTGAAGAACATACTAGATGAACCATATGATATTCATCTTGCTAAAATAAAAATGAGTTATTTCAGCAGGTTTTCTGTCAGAAACCATACAATTATAGATGAATGCCACAGATGCTCCTGTTCAACTTGTGCTCAAGTATACTTTTTTTTCTGAAGCAGAATAATATAACTTCATTTACTGCCAAAATACAATTCTCTTGTTAAAATGTATAAACATATCCTTAAATATCAGCCTCCTCTGTAGGAACAGAGGGATGCTTTAGTCATTAGGAATTCCCCCAAGCCAAAGATCCTTTCTATTACTCATCTGAGCTTTGCTCTCAGTATCTGAAATCAACACTTGCATTTGTGCATATACGTCATCTTCCACATACTGCACAAGAATTCCAACTAAATAGCATTTCAGAGATCAAACTGCAGCACAAAGCTCAGGACAGTGGTCAGAGTGTAAGATATTACTTCCTATCCATGCGGGGCATTCCTTGTGCATATACGTCATCTTCCACATACTGCACAAGAATTCCAACTAAATAGCATTTCAGAGATCAAACTGCAGCACAAAGCTCAGGACAGTGGTCAGAGTGTAAGATATTACAGTACTTCCTATCCATGAGGGGCATTCTCCTAGATTGCATAATTTAGTATGGAATTTTGGAATGACTGCTTCTCAATGCCTGTGTGTCTCAGGAGTATTTGTGCACTTCTAAACCACCAACCAACATTGTGAACTCAGCTGTAGAGTGAGGCTAATACCTAGAATATGACCGACACTTGCCTGCAATGCTTCAGTTTAGCCCCAATCCAGATTCGTTCGTTTAGTCATTCAGTCGTGTCCGACTCTTCGTGACCCCATGCCAGGCCCTCCTATCTATCCAGATTACCAATTTTCATATCATAGAACCCCTTCTTTCCACTAGTCGTTCAGGAATACAATATGAATACCATATTGTATTCTTGAATGACACCAGCATGTCATAATACACAGGAGACAAAGATATTCAAAACTGCCAAAACCACTCTTTTATTTCACATAATGACTACTGACTTACTCACAATACTGCTGTAATAATTGTTACTAGAGCTGGGGGTATTCGTATACAAATATCCCCCCACAGGTGCAGATAATGACCATCCACAAATCCGTTGCTGCCTTGGACTCTAGACTCCCTTCCTATTGCTCTCGAGCTCACTGTGGATTAGCCACTCTTCCACCTGGCAGAGAGGCTTGTCATCCTGCCTCCTGCCAGGACTGGCTAATCCATCGCAAACTCAAAATTCTGCCACTGTCATGGGCTCCGGACTATCTTCCTATAGCTCCATAGCTTGCAATGGAACAGCCACTCCTGGCAGAAGGCAGGATGACGAGCCTCTCTCCCAGGCTGAAGAGTGGCAAATTCATTGCAAACTCCAGAGTGATAGGAAGGGAGTCTGGAGTCCGCCGCAGCGGTGAAATTGTGAGTGGTCAGTCCGGCCCACAGGTTATCTGCACCTGTGGGGAGATATTCATATTCATATACAAATACCCCCATCTCTAATTGTTACTGTTTGTGAAAGGATTGCATATTCAGACAACCTTATATAATTCTTCTCCTTAAGTGTAACACCATAAATATAAACAAGGGCTCCCCTGTGTATCAGCTCTGAGAACTGTCTCATGAGTTCAGAGTACCCCCTAGCCTTATCAGGCAACATGAAGCCTACTTGAGTGTAAGAAACTGTATCACAAGCACGACTTTTTTGCAATTTTTTTGTTTGCCTGTAAGAAAACAAAGCTTTCAAAGTAACCCCTCCAAACTCTTCTAACATGACATCTAGTGTCTCTTTTCTAACAGTGAGGATCGTTCCACACATTTATCTACAGCATAAGTTTTCTATCTAAAGAGTTCAAGAAGAAACTGTGTGCATAAACTGCTCCTTCCAAAAGTCTTCAATGCCTCAAGGCAGTCTTCTTTTCCTAGAATATGTCTGCTTAAACTCTGCAGACAAAACTTTTCAAACTATACTACTGTGTCAAATAATATTCAGAAAAGCAGTTTTTGTATACTCCTTTCATACTCACAGAAATTCTAAAACACAGCTTCAGCCATGTTTTTGGCCATCCTATTATCTTCAGACTATCTACGAATGAAGGGATATGCTCGAATTCAACATGAACACACCGGCCAGTATCCTGTTCATGCTGATGCAATGTAAAGTTACACCAGTGTAAATGAGCTGGGCATTACGCTTAACAAGTAATTGTGCTTTGGAATTACTCAGTCACATGTCCCAGACATGACCAACTGCCCAATGCAACAGCAGAAGTACTCTGGGGATAGCACTTCCACTACAGCACTTATGCTGCTACCATACACAACCTCAAGTTGCACGTGCATAGTTGCACAACAGAATTTTGGTCAGTGTAAGATAAGTACTGCTGTTCTATGGATATAAAAGGATCTGCTTTATGATGATCTTTGCAGAATAAAAGTTTTTTTTTCTAGGACACAGTTAACATACTATAGGTTTTCTCCCAGCATAGAATTCCCTCCATTCAGATCAATCTTCAACATGAAGTTCCAAATGCTCCCAATTATGTTTTATAAATGTCCATATTAAATTATATACCGTGTTTCCCCAAAAATAAGACAGGGTCTTATATTAATTTTTGCTCCAAAAAACGCATTAAAGCTTATTTTCAGGGGATGTTTTATATTTTTTTATGTACAACAATCTACATTTATTCAAATAGTCATGTCATCTTCTTCTGGTTGCTGCACAATGATGGAGGGCAGGGTTTCACTTAACTGGGGCTTATTCTTGAGGTAGGGCTTACAAGCATCCTGAAAAATCATACTAGGGCTTATTTTCAGTTTAGGTTTTATTTTCGGGGAAACAGGGCACATCTTCCTTTCATGACCACTTGCATGTTTTTCCCCCGATCCAAAGTGAGCTGTTCTTCAGCCAACTGATAAGAAGCAAGTAGTCAGTTATGTTGCCCTCCTCAGCCTTATTGTCCCTTTCCTTAATTTATAATGTAAGCCTATTTCCAGTTTGCAGACATGCTCAATACAGTAGCCACAACCTCATAACCATGATTGTCGCCATGCAGATAATTAACGTTTAATTTTTACACTACAACAAAATATATTTTATTAATTTTTCTTTAAACAGTTGCACATATTTGAACTACTCCATTCTACCACAGTAATAGTCAGTGTACTTTAAAGGATTTTATAGAGATTTCTTCAACATTTGTGGAGGGTTTTATAAGCAGCAATTCTGCATTGTTAAAATAAGGCTTACTTTTCTGAGAATATCTTTCAACTGCAGGTGATCAGGAAGCAATCTGCCAGAATACACCAGCCTCTGATCCTTTGTAGACTAAAGAGATGGAACAAAGGAAGAATTCATCTTTTCCCCCCCAGCTGTACCGTATTAAAATTGCAAACAACATTTGGAGATGAAGAAGAATTAACTTGAATTCCTACCACCCATAGTTTATATTTAAAGAACACTTTATCTATTAAAGTTCGACGTTTACATTTAATCTACAAATATACAACTAGTGACCATATTACTTTTAGCCATGATACAGTTCCAAAAATCATCATGAATGTATATGCACACTGAAGTCCTATACTTCTTTGGAGGAGAATCTGTTATATCTCTAATGGTCCTGGGGGCAGGGAGCACTTTTGATATACAGTGGTGCCTCGCAGAACGGGCGCCTCGTAGAGCGATGAATTCGCTCTACGAGGCCATTTTTTTATAGGCGGGAAATCGCAGAGCGAAGGTCGGTAAGCTGCTCGCTTACCGACCTTCGCTTTGCGACCCGACAATCAGCTGTTCCACGGCTTCAAAATGGCCGCCGGAACAGCCGAAAGGGGCCGGGGCGCGTTTTCGCGCCCTTGGTAAGCAAGGGGAGGGCGCGAAAACGCTGCGCGCAGCCATTTCGGGGCTTCCGGCAGCATTTTCGTGCGCTCCCCTTGCTTACCAAGGGCGCGAAAACGCTGCGCCCCGGCCCCTTTCGGCTGTTCCGGCAGCCATTTTGGACCCGCCAGACCGCTGATCGCAGCCATTTTCGCGCCCTCGTTCTGCGTTTCAATGGCTTTTTTACTTCTGTACAGCGATGTTTCACACAGCGAGGGTTAATCCGGAATGGATTAACCTCGCTGTGTGAGGCACCACTGTAATTATTTTGAAGTTTTGTGCTACTAGTTTTTTGTTTTGTTTTGGTGTAACACTTTTTTCCGCTCTACAACTATGTCATTCAAATGGGCCTGCTCTGCTATATACCTTAGCATAACTGCAGTTATAGAGTGGGCCCATTTGAATCAACAGTTGACTCATTAAATCTCCATTAATTCAATAAGCCTACTCTAGTGCAATTCACTATGCTAAGCAACAGGATTTTGATCATTGTGTGCTATATAAAATTTAACTGAAAAATACTGAACATTTCAGATGTGTAAAAACTAGCTTCCTTTCTTGGTTTAGGTTAAACCCACCGTCCTTCCACTCCACAATGTCAAAGGATCTTATTTCTTTATCTTATTTCTTTACAGAGCAAGTAGAACTGTATGAAGATGTGTGTGTAATCTGTTAAGAACTAAAAATATTTGACATTCGCTTTTACATTCAAATTTGACAGTAATAGTGGAGTGTGACCAATGAAGTGTCAGGATAGAGAGAGAGATATCAGGGGTAAGGTATTCAGCTTCTTGTAGAGTCAAGATTTTAGTACAGACAATAAGGAGCAGGTGCCTATGCTAATATATACAATGTCATATATATTATATATGTCATATATACTACAGCAGGATGTGATGTGACAGTTAAAGCATTCCTTGCTTTGATTAGTAAAGTTAAGATTTTCAAAAGAGAGAAAAATGAAGGATTCTTACAAGGACAGTTCAGTGAGGTGTTACACTCAGGAAAGTGTCACTGGCTTATCCCAGTGCCACTCAAATGGTTATCTGCAGTCTAATATAATCTCTTGATTATACCAATGCTTCGGGACTATTCTGCACAATGTGCAGAATCAAACCTGAGCCTGTTGCCAACTGTATATCCAAGCAACATAACCTGCAGGAAATCTCAACTTTCTGATAAATGTACATATACAAAACATATTTGTGAACATGCAAGTGTTGCATTCACACTGGATTTTTAAGTTGAAACATTTCAGGCACAGATGTAGATATCTTGCGACATAGCCTTCACTTTTTAACTGGTGAACTAGAATTCTGAAAGAATGACAAAGATGTCTATATGTGTGAGAGTGGGAGAGAGAAGTTACAGTTGTGTTCAAAATTATTCAACCCCCAATGCTGTAAAGGGGTTTAGGGACTATAGTGTACATTTGGAATTGTATTCAGAATGAAATCCTACAAGGACGTTTTAAAGAACCAAATGCAACTAAAATAACATCAATTGTTTATGTAATACAGTAGTAAATGTTTCTTTTGTGGTTTCTTCATTGCCACAAAGAATGACAAAGATGTCTATATGTGTGAGAGTGGGAGAGAGAAGTTACAGTATTTAGTATAATGTCATGCAAAGGCAGTAACTTACAGGGACACCTTACAGACCTGTAACTGCCACTTAAAAAAGAAAGGATACACAAGCTTAGCAGCAAGAGTTAGGGCAGAGGGGCTGGTCTCTGAAGGCCAGGGCCTCAATGGCAATCTCATTGCTGGAGAGAGTACACCGTGGAGAAGTGAGATTTTGCCACGAGAAGAAAGAAAAAGAAGGCCTACTTGTTTGCTATGGTTTCAGATTAGAAGAACCTCAGGGCTTCATTTTCTCGAGAATTACTATTACAAGACGGAGACATATGGGAAGTATTTACAATAGTGGCTGTACTGTGTACAGCGTTTTTATTTTGCCGTGCCTTCAATGCAGACCTTTCGCAACGGAGGCCTTCCTAAGTACAAAGATTGGGGGGGAGGTGTCAAGTCTCTTGCCCGGTTTGCGTGTGTCAGGCGGGCCAGTTAAATAAAGCAGGCCAAGAAAAACCAAAGGGGAACAGCATTTCGGAAGTGGCCTTCTCTAGGCCCGGGTCGGAGGGAGGGAGGAGGCAAAGATGACCACCCGGGAGGCCTCTAGTAGGGCTCTGAGACCACCACCCCCCAACCAGCCGGGCAGAGGAAAGGCAGCTGGCTGCCCCTCAGCCTCCGGTCCTCGAGGGGGGGGATCGAGTGCCTGGGAAAGGGGGTCGCGGGGCTCACCGGCTTGCTGGGGTACACTCTGGAGAGGTGGCACTTTAGCTTGCCCACGGTCCAGTCGAGGAAGCAGCTGATTGTCTGGTCGGTGTACTTCTGGTTGGGCGCTTTGATGATCAGGGTGACGGGCGGCCCAGCCACCGCCGCCGCCGCCGCCGGGCTCTCCATCGGGGTCGCCTGTGAGAAAGACCGGGGCGGATAGGAAGAGCAGGCTCAGGAGCGGCGAGGCGAAGAGGAGGGCTTCCGAGAGGCGGCGGCGGGGCCACCGGCGCCCATCTCTGCCCGCTGCGAACTGCTTGCTCCCTCAGGACAAGACCCGGGCCAGACTCGGGAAGGAAGGAGGACGCAGGTTAGCGGCGTCACACACTGGCCCCGCGCAACAAGGGCCCCAGCTTGGGCCTCGACGTAGGTCACTGCCAGCAACGCTGCCGGCCCTCCCTAAACAAGCGGCA